CTTTGGATCTGGACTTGGTCCAGTGGGATCGGAGACATATAGCGGTGGATCTTGCCTTCTCGTTTGGCGTTTATACCAGATCCACCTTCAGATGACATCTACCGTCTTTCCTCCATAGGATCCCCACTCGATCCACCCGTACATAGTATATCCCATATACCCCTAAGTGAACTCAGGTGAGGGTGAATCCGAGTCTTTCCTTGGTGGATCCTGTCTTCCCATACGTCACCCATACCAGATCCATTGTCGGCTCATACGGGATGCCGCTCATCATGGCCAATCCACCTCAGGCAACGTGAATCCCTGCCTGGCGATTCAAATCCTCTCTAATCACTTGAAACTGTCCGTGATTCGGGATAGTGACCCCTTGTTAGGTCCATTCTCTTATTTTGTTTTGAGAAAGCACTTCACCCCACTTGGAAGGTCCTTGAAAGACGTATTGAGGGGTACCGGTTTATGGCGGTAAGTACCCATAAACCGGTAACCAAACCGGTGCAACACGATCCCGCGATGATTACGGTACGTTGATTACGCTATCGATTATTAGACGAGTAGGATGATTGGACGAGTGTTGGTGATTGGATGCACCAATTGATTAGATGACCTAGGTAGGGAGGACAGGGTAAGCTCCGATAAATCAATCACTTCGGAATCTTCCTTCTTCCCCTCAAGTGTCTTCGCTGCGATCTACTCCCCGAGTGGTGACTCTTCCCTTCGCTCCGTACAAGCTCAACGTTGCCTAAAACCCGTGACCTCTATCAGGTTATGAGCTCAAGTAACAAGTCCTCTGCGCAAGACGTTTCAACTAAGGTCTCCATCGACAAGTTCAACGCTGACAACTACGCGACGTGGGGCCGCTACATGCGTGGTGTGTTCCTGACCAAGTCAGTATGGCATGTCGTGAACCGAGAGACGACTCCAAGCTTCACGGACCCTCGTGCGAAGGACGAGTATGTCAAGTTGAGCAACATCGCGTTCAGATTGATGCTGCTCCACATGGATGCGGACTACCACCACGTGGTCGACAACTGCGAGGAAGCGTGGACCACGTGGGCGCGCTTGAAGACGCTGTACGGTGGATCGCAGAAGGCTGGTCGTATTTACCTGAAGCGACAGCTCTTCAGCGTGGAGATGTCTGAAGGCGCGAATGTGTTGCATCACTGCAATGAAGTTCTTAACATCAGCGCCAAGCTTAGTAGCATCGGCGCCAAGATGGAGGACGAGGACGTTGCGATCTGCTTGTTGCGCAGTCTCCCCAAGAGCTACGAGAACGTCGTGCTACACCTGGAGATGAGTACGGCCGAGCTGAAGACGCAAGACGTTGTGAAGGTGCTCACGAACGAGCATATCAAGCGACAAGGCGAGAAGACCTCTGCGGTGAAGACTGAAGACGCGGCGAAGGCGTTCAGTACCGAGCGGGAGTCTCGCCAGTGTACTTACTGCGGAAAAGTGGCGCACGTAATTGAGAAGTGCTGGACCAAGCAGAAGGATGACAATCGAGGAGGCCGACGCGGCGGCAACAGTCGTGGACGCGGGGCAACAATGTCCAGTTGCGAAACGACGACTACGACCACGGCTATGATCGCGTGGCATTTGCGGCTTCGTTGGAATGTGGAGTTTTGACGGGCAAGAGTATGTCCTGGCTGTGGGTAGTCGACAGCGGTGCGACACACCATATCTGCAACGACAAGATTAAGTTTGTCATACTGAACGAACGAAAGAAAGGCGATCTGAAGGTCGCTGATGGCACTAACGTTGCAATCAAGGGTGTGGGGACCATCATCGAGCGCGTGGTTCTGCCCAACGGCGATGAGCGCGAGATCGAAATCAACAACGCGCTCTACGTGCCGAAGATGAAGAAGAACTTGCTATCGGTGCCGCAGATCAACAAAAACGGCAAATTTCAAGTGGTGTTCGACGGTGAAACCATGCACGTTGCGCGCAAGGATTCGAAGGAAGTGGTGGCTACAGCAGATCTCGTAGACGGTCTTTACTGGCTGCGCACACCACTATGCTCGATAAACGCAGTGACTTCGAAATCGAACGTTGACTTGCACGCGCGCGTGGGCCATGCTCCTATCGACGTGCTACGCAAGATGGTCAACAACGGCATGATCAAGGATGCCAAGGCACCTTTGAAGTCAAGTGAGCAAAGTGTCTGTCGCGGGTGTCAGCAAGGGAAAATGGCCCAGAAGCCGCTCCCCAGTAACCGCGACAAACGTAGTTACGACACGTTCGAGTTGCTTCATTTCGACATCTGCGGTCCCATGGAAGAAGAATCGTTGGGTGGGAGCAAGTACTTGCTGCTCATCGTTGACGAAGCCAGTGGATGCATGAGGGGTTTCTGCTTACGAGCCAAGTCGGACGCTGAAGAATGCCTCAAGAGCTATATCACGAAGGTACAGACGCAAATCGGCAAGGAGGTCAAGTTCGTACGCCATGACGGAGCTCGTGAGTTCGCAACAAACTCACTCAAGGTGTTCTACGAAGATCGAGGCATCGAACAGCAGACCACGGTTCCGTACGCGCACCAGACGAACGGCACTGCAGAACGAGCTATCAGGACTACCGTCACGATTGGTCGCAGCATGTTGCACCATGCCAAGTTGGAGAAGTGTTTCTGGGGCGAAGCGGCTATGGCCGCTATCTACGCTAAGAACCGTCTACCGTCACCCAAGATCGAAAGCAAGACTCCATATGAGATCGTGTACAAGTCCAAGCCAAGTGTGAAGCACATGCGTGTGTTTGGTTGTCGGACCTACGTCCTAACTCCCAGGGAAAAGAGACTCAAGTGGGACCCCAAGGCTCGAAGAGGGTTGCTAATGGGTTATGAAGAAGTGTCAAAGGCGTATCGAGCGTATGACATCGAGGCGGGGTAGGTGGTGATCAGTCGCGATGTCAATTTCGACGAATCAAACTTTGGGTTTTCGACGGCTAGTCCAAGCGACGACGACGCAGATTCTGATCTCGACCTCGACTCTCTCAGTATCAACGATACCGAAACTGCGGGCCCAACGGAATTCAAGCAGGCGGGAAAACGCAAGTCCCGCACAAGTAACGTTCACGGCATGACTACGAGATCGCGCGCTGCACAGCAGGCTGCCGGTTTGGAGGAAGCTAGTGCTCGAGAAACCTCGTTTGAGCGTCAAACAAAGCGCCGATCAGGTGTGCGAAATGACTGTGATGTGGTCGATGAAGAAGAAAAAGACGTCGAGGATCAAGACGACGATGACGCAGCTCCGCCTGTATTTTGGCGAGCATGTGCCAACGCAGTGGAAGCTGGTGATTTAGCTGAGCCGGCAACGTTCCAAGAAGCGGTGAACGGGCCTGATCAAGGGCATTGGCGCTAGGCCATCCGTGCCGAACTTAAGTCGATGCGACTTCGCGGTGTGTTCTGAGCTGCCAAGTTACCGAACGGTCAACGGGCCATCGGTGCGAAGTGGGTGTTCAAGATCAAACGCAAAGCGGATGATTCAGTCGAGAAGTACAAGGCGCGCCTTGTGGCGAAATGCTTCAAGCAGAAGTATGGCATTGACTACACGGAAACGTTTTCGCCCGTAGCGAAGTATGTGACGCTGCGCATGATCATTGCTTTGGTCGTGTACCTCGGCTGGCCCCTGGACCAGCTGGACGTGGTGACAGCACTCCTGTTGCGAGATTTTGACGGCAGCAGGGGAATCGGGACCAGAGCTCAAGTTGAAGACAACCACTCATGCATTAGGATGACCAAGAACCCAGTGAACCATGGTCGGGCCAAGCACATCGACATCAAGTACCATCACATTCGTGATGAGGTCAATCGCGGTGAAGTCAAACTGGAGTACTGCGAGACCTCTGTGATGCTGGCGGACATCAGGACGAAGACGCTTCCGGGGCCACGTCACAAGGACCTTACGACGGCGCTCGGAGTCAACGCGTGTTCGCATTGAGGGGGGGTATTGAGGGGTACCAGTTTATGGCGGTAAGTACCCATAAACCAGTAACCAAACCGGTACAACACTTCCCCGCGATGATTACGGTACGTTGATTACGCTACCGATGATTAGGTGCGTAGGATGATTGGACGAGTGTTGGTGATTGGATGCACCAATTGATTGGATGACCTAGGTAGTGAGGACAGTGTAAGCTCCGATAAATCAATCACTTCGGAATCTTCCTTCTTCCCCTCAAGTGTCTTCGCTGAGATCTACTCCCCGAGTGATGACTCTTCCCTTCGCTCCGTACAAGCCCAACGTTGCCTAAAACCCGTGACCTCTATCAAGACGTGCAATGCATATTAAAGAAAGCGACGTATTCAGATTCGTTGAGGAGCTCAGAACTGTTAATTGGAGTCATCAAAACCTTGTCTTCCTAGACGAAGTATCCTTTAATAACCGCGGAATGATACGAAAAAGAGGAAACTCTATGAGGGAAGAAAAGGTTGCCGTACGTGGAGACTTTCAGAGGAAGTCAAGGCTTTCAGTGTTAGCGTTTATTAGGGCTAACGGTTTACTCGACTACTACGACACACAAGGAACGTTTGAGAGGTTGAGCTTCGTGAGCTGTTGCAAAGAATTCGTGTACTCAGCATGTGGGCGCGTAAATCAATATCCGGGATCTAACTCGGTGTGGATTCTCGATGGAGCATCAATCCATCGCCATCCAGAGGTTATACACTACCTGCGAGTGTCGGCGTGGTCCCTATTTTTTTGCCGGCGTATTGCCCATTTTTTTAATCCCATTGAATTTCTGTTTGGGTACGTGAAGAAAGCCTTCATGCGGCACTATGACGAATCTAGTGGCCGGGACCTGACTCCGTTCGCTGTGAAGACGTTCCAGCGCTTTGAATCGTTCGACATGACAGGCGTGTTTGGTCACTGTGGTAGGATAAAACAATACATTTTTAATCCAGTCGGGCCACTCTCTAAGGAGAAACAACAGGTACCAGACATCTGGGACGGTGAAGAACAAGCCGACTGCCGTGAAGATGAGTTAGGATTTATAACGCACCAGTAGTTAGGCTACTGAGTATCCTACAATTTACTATCTACTCTTCATGATCGATGTCAGCAATGTTTTCAATCAGTGGAACAGGTTCGACGACATCACTAGGTGGAGGAGGCTGTAATTCGTCAATGAATGCCTCGATGATTGCCTTTCTGTCAGCTAGTCAATTCTTTTGTGCATCAACCCGTCTTACTAATGCGTCAGCATCACGACGGATTTGCTCATTATCTGCAATAGCTGCAGCAACACAGTCCAGTGCGAGTCGAGATGATCGATTGAGGTTTGCGATGTGTTGCTCAAGACGCGAGTCCGCTGCGTTCAGTAAATTCGCTACGTGCTCCGGAGGTGGATCCGAAATTGCACCAGTCCATGTCGAGCGATTTAAGTTACGCGTGATAGAGTTCGCCCACATGCGCCACACAATCGCTGATCCTTGAAATGTGCTCCCCCAGTGTTGCTGCAGTTGGATAACCACATCGTGCAAAGTGCTCTCCGCAGCTGCACCAGATCGTTCGGTTTTCGGAGGTTGAATGCATGCCTCTTTGAATTCTTGGAGGTCTTGAGCCTTTGTTAGTACACAAGAAGCTGTACAGTATGGTGACGTGTACTTCTCGCCCACTGAGCCCATGCGTCTTCTGTCTTGGTGCTTTCGATCATGTGCCTTTTGAATCTGAATTGCATGAGTTTGTGCCATTCTTACTGGAAAGTAGTCTGCAGTGACCACTCGCCATCCGTCTTAACTGCCCGTCCTTTGATGTGACCACGAAGCTGTTCGAATAGAGAAGTGATAATGTCGTTAAACGTGGCTCCACACACGGTAATCTTATCTAGAGTGACGCCAGATGCATCTCGCTGGCCAATAGTAGCCTTGATAATTGGTTGGACCACCAGCGTTAGCTGCCGACGTTCTTCTGCGTGTGCTGCGCTTGGCGACCGCCGAACTGGAGTTCGTACCCGCTCAGGCTATGGAGAGACGCGTGTATGAGGCGTTGAGCTTCGCTGTGATCTCAGAGTTGTCGATCTGGTTGGTGTTGTTGCCTCTCGCTCGCTAACACTAGTCGCCTCCATGTCTCCAGTCCTCGGGCTTGAGCTCGCCACCTCGACGCCCCCCCCCTGCTTGATCTTGAGTTCGCCTTCATTGCACTCGTGTTGTGGTTGCTTGCAGGTTTATCTCTAGGGATCTGCTCAGATACACACCGTTCTTTGGAGTACACTATAAGATAGGTAGGGCAAAACTCAGATCGAAACTCCGGAGCGGTTCAATCGGCCGATTCGGAACTTTTGACTAGAACTCACAATACTAGTGACAAAATTGAGTGTCCATTCTCGTCCAGTTGGACTATGACGGGGTCACACAGCACCTTGCACGGAGGCAGTGCTTAAGAGTATTTACTACCTGAGTGAACGTTAGGCCACGTGTTCCCGGCCTCAGTGGGAACGGCTTGCTACTTAGAGGAGTAGATGTAAGACAGATGTATTTATAAGTTAGGTTAGCTTGGATCCTATACAAAGTATAGTGGAGCTAAGTAGTCATGCCCTGACTGGCTCCTAGAGCACCTGGTACCGTGTACCAGGTGTCCACAAGAGTAACGGGTCACTCTTTATGTAACCTGGGGTACACTAGATTGTACCCGTTACATCCTCCCCACTTAACTGGGAATCACCTGATTTTCCAACCACAACTGATTTTCTAATCAGAAGTGAGAGAATTAAAACACGTAAAGGTGAATTCTCACACTGAGCAGCCACAAGACTGTAGCGGCTCTCAGTCACACCCAAAGTGACTTGTGCTCGTAAAGCTCACTGATATTTGCATCCCTATGCTTATGTGGTGAAGTGCGTTCTCAGAAATGAGAGACGGGATCTGACAAGGAGTCATTATCACAGATTAGTGACAACACCCGGTGGTTAGGATGGACCTGGATTGCCCTGGCATGGATCTATGCTGCTCGAAGTAAATTGGGTCGAGGTAAAGTGGTATCCTATATGGGTCGACGGTGGATCTGGGTGGCTCAGAGTATGAAGAACGAAAGAGGAACATGGTTGGTGGCGGTACAGCGGAGATCGACTCAAAGGAAACTCGGATCCACTTTCACCCTATTATACCGAGGGATATGGGATATACCATGTACGGGTGGATCGAGTGAGGACCCTACGAACGAAAAACGGGAGACGTCATCTGAAGGTGGATCTGGTATCAACGACCAACGAGAAGGCAAGATCCACCGCGACATGTCTCAGGTCCTACTTTTCCAAGTCCAGGTCCAAAGGGTTTGAGGATCTCACATCGAGTGACCTGCATCCAGGATATGATGATGGTGGATGCAACGGATCTCGAACTTTCGTGGAGCGAAGGAGATCACAGACAGTCGTAAGATAATGTTGGAAGATTGGAGAGCTCAGATACATGATGAGCGTACACTTGTAGTGAGGTGGATCAGGGTGACCTGGATCCAGAATAGTGTACCCATAATGTGGCGACCACAATGATTACGCCATGGATTCGGTGGATCTGATGCTGATACAGCTGGGGTGATGGACCAAGGAGAAAAAGGGCATGCAGCCGAGCCTGGTGGGGGATTTAGCAGATAAAAGACATAGAAGGTAGAAATCCAGGCAGGTATAGGCTTAATTATCAATACAGAACTCAATTTGCACAGTATCACGCAAGTGCCTTCCTACCCTCAAGAATCGGAACTACATTGGCCGTACGAGCTCTGTAACGGGGTTACATAGTGTGGAACACACAGGGGTACGAAGTACCCGGAGAGTTAACAAACTCTCAGTACATAAGTTGGAGAGTTAACAAGGTCTCTCAGTACGTTGGCCGAAAGCCACACGTTATGCATTTGATTAGGTTTAACTATGCAAGATAGTTAAACATATACATTTACCCCTAGGCGGCTTGGCCGCAAAATAATAGTAAATAAAACACTTCTGGTTTTGAAGCATAAAAGTTAAGGTGTTAACTTTGAGCCCTGGTCTTGGGCTGTAAGTGTCCTTTGGATAAGGAACTTAGTATTAGTGATTCTTTGAGTCGAACGTCTTCCTCTGACGCTAAAGCTACGGCAGCCCCGCTGCACTTGGTAGCACTTGTAGTCAATCCCGCTCCTGAGTCGGTTGATTATATCCTCTGCGAGGATGGAACACCCCGTGTTCGCGAATTTGCCCCCGGCGCAGCAGGACGCGCTTACTAAGCTTACGTCCTTGCTTGGCCCGGAGGGCGTGGCTCATCTTGCATCGCAAGGTTCAGAGGCGGTCACTGCCAGGCTGGAATCGTTCTCCCGCTACGAGAACGAGCTCTTGGAGCATGTCCAAGAGAAGATGTGCGCCGCAACGGCGGCGGCGTCGATGACGCGTGAAGAGTCTATGAGACTGAAACCGCTCATGGTGAGCGTAAAAACCTTCGAGGGGAAGGATGGAGAGAATCTCCTTCTCTGGACCCGTGAGGTCGAGATGGCCATGGGATCGGCCCTGCTCCAGTCTGAGCATCAGCGCGTGGCGCTGGCTATCTCCAGGCTTGGAGGTCGCGCTCGCGAATGGGCACTAACGTGCGGCACGTCTGTTGACGCTGCATTTCCCACTTGGGATCAGCGGAAGCAACAGCTTTTGCGCGTGTTCGCGCCGCCTAATCAGGCGTACCGTATCCGGTCAAAGTTCCTTGCTACCCGCCAGGGTAAGAAGGATTTATTGGACTATGTCCAAGAGTTGAGAACTCTTATCGCCGGAATGGCGGGGGGCCCTCTTCCGGAACTGGTCAGCGTGACCGTGTTCATGGAGGGACTTCGTGTGAGCGCAGCTCGAACGGAAGTGTTCCGTGTACACCCTAACTCTTTTGAAGAGGCGGTGGATGTGGCATTGAATGCCGAGCACAACTTCAGGTCGGCGCGACCTGGTTGGAGCGCTGGTAGCGCAAGCTCTTCGAGCGGTCCAGAGCCGATGAACCTCAGCTATGCTGAAGATGAAGAAGCGGAGCTCCTTGCTGCGGAGCAGCGCGCCGGCATCCGCCGATGCTTTGTGTGCAATAGCACTAAGCACTCGAGGGCCTATTGCCCTCTGCGCAAGAAGCGCGAGGCTCCGGCGAGCCAACCCTCCGGGTCATCGCCGGGAAACGGCAATTCCCAGTAGGCGCGGGGCGGCCTACTGGGGAAGAACTGAGTTCTGTTGTGCCTCGAAGAGGTAGAGGGCAACGATGCTCAGCCCCGAAGAGAGCTGAGCTCTCTTACGAGAAGAATGTGTGCAAGCCGGGCTTGCTGGTCGTTCAAGCGAACGTGAAGGGCTTTGCAAAGCCATGGAGAGTCTTGATTGACTCGGGAGCCTCGGGCAACTACGCCCGTCGCTCCACCCTGGAAGGGAGTCAGCTGTATGCTGAGGCACTGGAAGTGCCAACGAGAGATACGATCTCTGTCCGTCTCGCGACGGGGACACTGGTAACTGTGTCGAAGGTCTCTGTCGACCTTGGCGTGAAGTTTGAGAACTTCGATAGCGTGGAACGCTGTTTGGTCTTAGACCTGGATGCGAGGTATGACCTCATCCTTGGCATGGCATGGCTGGAACGCCAGGAGCCATGGATCGACTGGAAGTCGAAAACGCTGGGTGCGTCGCACCCTGCTCCTAGTGGAGCTTTGGTGAGTCATGAACCCACCTCTGCTAGGAAGCAGAAGCGCTTTTGGCGCGAGCACGAGGCCGAGGCGCTGTAGTGCTGGACATTGGTATGTCCGAAATTGTTAGCAACGAGGTTGCTGCTTGCCCTGAGGGCGTACGTGGTGCGGCACGTTATCCGCTGAGCGGTGCAGGTCAGGTCGATGACCAACTGCTGGGTCCTGGTGAGGACGAGCGCGGAGTGGCGCGTAATCCACTGAGTGGTACGAATCTGGTCGATGACCTACCGCTGCGTGACCCGAGGGTCGCGGTCGACTGCGAGTCGAGGCATCATGGGCGTGGCCCAGAAGATGCAGGTGAAGTGACACCTAGTTCACTGTGTAAAGGTCGAGGACCTCTTGGCTTTCAGCCGAGTACACTGTATCCTCTTCGAGGAGTGATGGTGCTGCTGCACCCGGTGGTGGTGACGGAGATGTCACCACACCGCCCTCATCCGGCCGGGCTTGGTCGCGGAGAGAGAGGAGAAGAAGACGCAGGGCGTCTGTGACGTCTTCGACGTCGGACGATGTGTCCAACGTGACGAGCGGTGAGGATCCACGTGATTGCTGTGAGCAGCTGTACACACTCGTGAACGGAGTGACGGGGGAGGTAGAAGGAGACATCAGCCTCGACACTCTGCCCGCTGCGGATGCTCTGCTAGAGCTGGACGAGATGTCCATTGCCGAGTTTGGCGAAGCCTTAAAGGCAGGCGAGCTAGCCGAGGTGGTCCTGCTGGGACCTGAGGAGGAGTTGAACTCCTCATCCGTCGTGGACGACGCGGTCCTAGAGGACACCAAACCAGCGCTGAGCGCAAGAAGTGGATCGGCGATCCTCAAAGATCCTTCGGACCCCTTGTACCCGGTGGTGAAGGAGTATGGAGACGTTGTCTCGAAAGACCCACCAACGGGCCTGCCTCCGGATCGAGGCGTGTGTCATGAGATTGACCTGGCTCCTGGAACCAAATACTGCGTAACAAGGCAATGGCCT